AAGTTAAGGGTCTTCTTACCATCACTGAGAACAACCATTTGTCTCGGGATTGTTTGATGAGGGTGTGAAAGAAAGAGAAAAGAGTGAAGCTCTCTGTTGAGATCATTGATGGAGATTCCTTCGTACAAGTCTGAATTGACTGTCCAGAGGTTACAGAGGTATGGTATATCAGAAATTAATTCTTCAAGGGGCCTATATTTATTTTCAAAAAGAGACGTTTGTTTCTTTCATCCCAAAGTCTCCACGTCACTGCATGAAAAACAGATTGCCAATAAATTTTTTCCCTTTTGCCTAGTCCTATTCCTCGCCACTGTTGCAAGAAGTCTTGAATGTGCTCTGATATAACCCAATTATAACCTGTCATTCTCAAGAAATGAAGCCAGATGTTTTGGGTGAATTTTCAGTGAAGCAAGATGTATCTGCTGATTCACCATCATTCAGACCTAAGATGCAGACATGAGGTGAGATAGAGAGTCTTCCCAAATGTTTCTTCTGCAGGAGATCAATAGTATTTAATCTCTGAAAGCAAGCTTCCCATACAAAAAAAACAGACTCTGGTTGGGATATGGCTGCACCAAATCTTTTTGAAGGGAAAGGAGGAGTTAAGTTCACCTGCAGTCAGAGCCTTGAACATAGACTTAGCGCCTTGCACTTTTAAAACATTAGTCCAATCTCCTCAGAATGGGAGGAGATTGGCCATTTGTCCAAGTGAATCTGCTACCACCTAAAGGTGGATCAATTAAACCATTTCTTCTGATAAAATCTGCAAACCTTCTCATCCCTACTCTTTCTCTATCATCCCTCCCCCTCCCCCCCTCCTGGTCTTACCTCCTCCAGCTCCTCCCAAAACTCCACTCTTGCTGCCTCTCCATTAGGACCATAAACATTCGAAAGTCCCCACTGCCAGCCCCCATCTACCAACCTAAAAGTAGATTGATATTGAAAACACTCCCCTTTTTTCTCCAATTTTCTTTAGGCTTCTTGAATCCCATATTACCACCAAACCCCCAGAGAGACCCACCGCACTCACCTCTGCCCAATCCCCACTATTATCACCCCATATCTCATTTTTTCATGTGCAGATCAAATGTCTCCAACTTCGCTTCTTGCAGCAGCACAACATCAGGCTTAAATTTTCTCAACATATTCCTAACTATTGTTCTTCTCTTACTTTCTCTCAATCCCCTCACATTCCAGGAAACCAATTTCATCTTCTGTATTCTGCTTTGTCCCCTAACCCCCACCACCTTCCTTGTATTTTCCCCTATACTCCTCGTCAACTAAATTGTCCTCCCTCTCTGCCCCTTCCTCCCAACTCTCTCCACCTTCCCCAATCTTTTCTTTCTTTTTTTTTTTTTTTTAATTTCTTCCCTTCTGCTTTCCTCGAATTTGGCTATGGTTTTCCTCAATATTCCTTCTCCACCCAAGAAGAACAACCCAAGGGATTTTCCTATCTTCACCTGTCTCTCCACTAGACTATCAATATCCACTATTCTTTTTTCTTTACCAGCTATACTCTTTACTTCTTTTGTTTCACCCTTTGCCATGCTGATTCTCCTCCCCTCCCCCTGCCCTCCATCAACATGCTCTTGTACTACAGACTCCTTTTTTCCAGAAATCCTTCTCCTATTATAAACTCTATTAGCTTCCTCCCTAGATATTTTCCTTTTCGACCCTTCTCCTGTCTCCTCAATCTTTACAGACTCCTTTCCCGCACTAACACCAACAAGGCCTACTTCTTTATCTCCAAGAGGGGAAAAGAGAAAAGAAGAGACACTGGTGGATGGAAAGAAGGTTCCGGTCTTACCTCTTCACTTGTAGGAGTAACTTCGAAAGGGATCCTGCTGTCATTTACCACAGGTCCTTCAGGGGGGTTCACACATTCCCTAATAATTGTTCATCTCTCTCCTCCACCACTGTTGGGCTGCTACTCATCAGCTTCTGTATTTTCTGAAGGAAGGAGGGAGCCCTCCAAACCTGGCTCCTTAAACCTCTATTTACTGCTATTCAGACTCAATTCCTTTTTTTTTTTTGTAAAATTGTGTTTAGGACGCCCTCTTTGTCCTTTGAGCTGGAGTCGAAGCTCTTGCTTCTATCTTCACCTTGAACAACGACCTTTGTCCCCTTTTCGTATCTCAATACCACCCAAACCCATTCTCCTTCTTCTTCAAGGATTAGTATTCTCTTTTGATCAATCTTCCCAATGCTACCTGCCCCTTTTTTCGTAGATAAAAGGCAATTCCCGAAAATACCCCTTGTCCCCTGCCTCTTTAAAAATCTTAATCTCTTTTTAAAATTATCGATAACCTTTTAAACCTGCAATTCCTCCCTCCTTTATTCTCTCCCTCACTTCTATCAACCAAATGCTCCCTGGTTACTCCCGATACTCTCCCACTCCCCTTTGACCTTTGGCCTTCCTCCAGGTCATCTGCCCTACCCGCCACCTGTTTAGTCCGACCTGAACCTTTGAACTCTGAATTGTTCACCTGTTCTTCCCTACTACAGGATGCTGCCACCTCAGTCTCTTCTGCTGCCTAATCTTCTTCTTCTCTCTCTCTCTCTTGATCGACCCTTTTCTTCTCCTTCCCCTTCTCCGACTCCCCAGTTCTGCATCCTTGTCTCTCCCCAACCTTCCTCACTCTAGAGGCTTTTCCTATCTCCCCCCTCTTCAGTGAAATCAAAGTTGCTCGAAGTGCCTTTGCTTGACCCGCTGCCAATTTCTACATGCTTGAGAGTGATGTCTGCACCTTCAACAATTAAATGCAATTCATACAACTTGCCTGCAAATTCCAGAAGCATGCTTCCTGAACATCACCAGGACCTTTAACCTCAATCAACAATCTTGCCATGTCGAGCTTCTCCTAGGTCCTATTCCTATCGTGCCCTGAAAAAATCTTCGAACGTCAATATGCTCCAAGCGTGCAGAGGTATTCCTACTACTCCGATCCAACACAAATATGAACTTCTCTCTGCAATCAGCTCACTAGCCACCAGATACCACCAGTCTAATCTCTAATCAAATTCCCTCTCCCTTGTCTTCTTGAATTCCAGAACCCATTCTGCTGCCTCTTTACTATGGAAGATGAACAAAATAAGTTCGGCGTCTAATCTTCTAACCACCATCACCTTCTCTTTCCCCCATTCTAATGCCGCCCAATTTCAATTTTATCATTCTCCCAATCTTTCCCCAACATTCTTCCCACCAAGTTTGCATGAAGAACCTTCATCCTTTCCTCCATCTTACTTGTCTCCCTGACGTCAACTGATACCTTCATCTTCAATTCAAACTGAACTCTCCTTTTCAATGTTGGAGGTGTCTTAAAAGAAATCCTCTTGCTTTTAAAGTGGGCTATGGAGTTTGTGTCACCTACTTAGTGAGATAAAATTCCTGCATTCCTTTGTCCTTTGTTTTTAAAGTGGATTAATAGTGAGGATAATTCTCTATCTGATAAATTAGCTAGACTTGGTGTTGCAAGGGTAGGGAATGTGTGGTGAATCCCTATTGACAATGTAAAGCTTGTACAGCTTGGAGGATGGGCTTGTGTATTTGTTGCTGGTGTTTTTATATGGCATGTTTTACTTATTCTAATTTTAGTAGAAAAACATTTACCAGCTGAGCCGTATATTTCAGATAAGGCTTTGTTGCAATGATATTAATACAAAGATATTGGCAGTTACTGTTCAAAAAGAAAAAATGGGAAGGAAAGTGATATAAGATTTTTTTTTTTCTGAGAAGAGGTAAAGTAATATAAGATTCTTAGTGGGTGCATCATTACTTGGGGATACTTGTGTACACATGGGGTACATGATGCTAGATTGGGCCTTTACTTTGGAGGAATTTATGAAGTCTATATTGGGAGGTGTGGGTGGTATTTTGCATGTCATGTTTATATGCCTATTTCGTTGTAAAGTGAGGACATTATGTTTCTCTCTCTCATATGTTATGTTGTAGGGTTAAATGTGGTTGACTTAAGTGACAATCGAGAAAAGCAGGTCTTACCTCATGCTTAGCTGTGCTTTAAAGGCAAGCCTAAGTGCAAAGGCAAGGCACATTTTAAGACATACACCTCACTTCAACCTAGGTGTAGCTCCTTTCAAAAGGTGTGTGCCAGGTTTACCTAGATATGTGACTAGGTCACATCAAGCCTTGGCCTAGGGGTGCACCTTCTACAATTTTGCTTTTTGGGTTACTTTTTGTACACATTTTTGTGTGTTTTACACACTGTAATGGTCTATGAACTTCTAAATTACCTTGTATTTTTTGGTATGTTTCTAAGTTACCTTTTATTGGTGATTATGCACTAGTAATAGTTAACTTTTAAAAGAAAAAAGATAAAACATGTTGAATAACTGAAGCCCTAATTGTTGCAGATATGATCTCAGAAAGCACAATTTCCACTGACAAATACAAATGTTTTTTCATCCCTAATCCTAAATAGAATGAACTGCAACCAAAATCATAAAACTAATCCCATTATATATACAGGCCAAAAATTATGGTCAGTGGCACTGCCTCCAAACGCCCAACATGCACTTGGTTAGATTTGCCTGCCTCAAGGGCCTTAAAGAGATATCAGTGTAGAGGCTTCAATATCATAGGATTAGGAAAGCAAGAAGATTAACATCACACTAACAACTTGAAGTAACACAACTTTTTTAAAGAGAGAAATAGAAGGATTTTGAAGAAAAGCTCGAGGAACAGATCAAACTGCAATGTTTTATGGAAGAAGGATTGTGGATTGGATTCTCTTATTTCCAGGATTTGAAGGTGTGTCAAAAGGTCTTGGAGATGGTTTTTGGTCTCTTTTTGAATGGATTAAAGAAGTGTATTGTTTTTATGGATGTTTTTTGTTGAATTTTTATTGCTGGAGAAAATTGTGGTGACACTCTTATGGAGTGGTCTGCTATTTGTGTTTTCAAGATGTTATTCAGTAGAAGTAGATTGAGTAATATCAACCTAAAACTGCAGTTTGGTTACTTATCTCCTTTTTCTGTTACAGGATGAAAAATAATATTGTAGGTATGGAGACAAACATGGAGCAACTCCTTGATAAGGTGGTTAGAGAATTGCTATTTCACTTGTTGATTTCTATAACTAGAAAAAACGTTCACCTTTTCTTGGCCTACCTCTGCAGATTATGTCTGTGCAATCTAGAAGTGATAGGGTTAACACATCCCTTCTGGAAAAGAGAGAACATATAGAGAAATTGCACCGCACCAGGAACCTTCTAAGGAAAGTACAGGTATAAATTGAACCATAAAATTATTTGTGCCATGACTGTTTTGTAGGTCCTGTAATAAGAAATTGTTCGAATGACATAATCCATGTAAGAGTTTACCTAGGACATGCTAAGTGGAGGCTATGTGCCACTATGCAGAAGTTATTGGTATCAAAATCTGGTGTTGCTTTAAGGAAGTTCTGTATTTTTATCCACATGCTGCATCAGGGCTTATCTTTAGATAAGACATCACGCTATGGGGTGTCTTTTTCTCATATCTGATAGTTCATGCAAGTTTTGGCCTGTTGGCCATGTATGAGTCACTAGAGATTTCATGTTTTGTGGAAAAGAGCAGTTCATTTATGATCTTCCCAGTCGACTTGGAAAGTGTATCAAATCAGAAGCTTATGCAGATGCAGTCAAGTTTTTTACTGGAGCCACACCAATTTTTAAGGTTAATTTTTTTTACTTGTTTTTCCTTTTTCCCCCTTTGCATTCTATTTTTGTTTAACTTAAATTTTCTCATTCATGAGAAAGATAGTTCTTATTGTTTTCTTCTCTAGGCATATGGGGACTCATCCTTCCATGATTGCAAGAGAGCATCCGAAGAGGCAATGAGTATAGTTACAAAGAAACTTCAGGTACACTCTTTTTTGGGCTTATTTTACCTCTTTATTGGGAAGCAGTCCAAAATTTGGATTAGCTTTAATCAGAAGTTATGTTCTTTTCCCCACTATAATTGATTTAACTATTTCCTTTGGATACAAGGGTTTGCACATCTATCAAGGCTTCTGCCATAGTTGTCAAGGTGACGCCTAGGTGACAAGGCGCCCTTGGAGGCTCGCCTCGCCTCGCCTAATCGCCAAGTAGTTTTTTATAGCGTGTCATAAAAAACTTTTATATTCTTAATTTTTTTGAGGTTATAATTATAAAATAGGCATTTTTAAACTAAAATATTCATTTTGTGTGTTTATATACTAATTTATTTTTATTATTTTCTTATTTGTTAGGGTTTAAAACCTGAACCAATAAGCAAGGAAGAACATAAAATGTTGTCCAATCAACACATTTTCTTATTTTTCTTTACTAATTTTGTGTTTTTATATACTAAAATGTTGTCCACCTTTTCTTTTATTCTTTTCCTATAACAGAAATAGGGGTTCAGCCCTTATATATTTTTTTTAAATTTTCTTTTCTTTCTTCTTTTTCTTCTCATGAATATGTTGGAATATGTTGATTTTCTATACTTTAACATGAAGTTTATACTTTTCTTATGAAAATTATGGATATTTATTAAGGAAATATGGTTATGGAACCTAGGGATCTACTATAGGATACATGTTTTTACTTAAAAAAATCCATTGCCTAGGCGACACCTAGGCACCTAGGCGACTAGGTGACAAGGCGCCCCCCTGTCGCCTAGCCTCACCCTGGTGCCTTGAAAACTATGGCTTCTGCTTCTAACACGGTGCAATGAGCAGAATTATCAATATTAAATAACTTGTACAGGAAATTATAGTACTTGAGAATTCAGTTTAGCTTCAGGCATGCAGCTATAAACCCTTGTTTGTTTAGGAGTTATGGGATAAGATGTAAAAATCAGAAGGAAACTTTGATAAGATGGCAATGTGTACAGACTCCATTTGATGGTATCCTTTGAACAGTTATCTGATTTTAACATTGGATGTTATAGATGAACTTTTTATTCTCCCAAGGGTTATACTATTGAAGTTCATTCTCTATATTCTTCACCATAACCTCCACACTTTTATTTTAGGATGACCAATAAAACATAAACAGTTGTTAATAAAAAGAACTTTTCTTTTAGGATGAGCACATTACAATTTCATGCCTCCTTTTCCTTTTCTCTTGTTTTTTCCATCTCAGGAGAAGCTATTCTCAGATTCTGAACCGACAAATGAAAGAGCAGAGGCTGTATTGCTTCTCAAGCAGTTGGACTTTCCGGTTGGTACTGAACTTTTTGTATATATTTCCTGTTAAGATTTTTGGAACACTTAGTTTATATGGACAGCATTCTACTTAGTACAGAATATAAATGGATATATACATGTTAATAGTTAAATAGAATATAGGGTTAATTACTTGCTATACCCTGTGGTTTCACCAAACTACTTAAATATTACCTAATTAAAGCATTTAATTTGTTAAGATTGACGGAAAAAATTGAAGGACAAAATATCCTAAATTAAAATTTCAAAACATGCACTTGACTGACATCATTAATCTTCCTCTTTGTTGTTTCTGGACAAACGAAATCGCATACATTTGATCATTGGACTCAGAGAGTTTCTCTACCCTGTCAACATCCAATCTCCGGCGCTTTCGATGGTAAAGTTGTAAACAAAATTACATCAAGAGGGGACCCACTCCGTACTTGAGTGGTCAACAAGGATAAAGAAACAGAGGATAACACAGGAAGAATAACATTTGAAGAATAAGGGATAAAACAAAAGGATATCACATTCTGAATGCCTAATATAAATTTCAAATCTTTGATAATACAATTTATCTTCCAAGGCACCACCACCCTACAGGAACCTTTAATTGCATAGATAACCATTAGACAGTTGCCAAAAATTCAGATCAATGAAGCTTGAATATTCCTTGCCATTTGAACCGCATGCCAATGAACCATGCTTCCACCACAATGGCTTCATCCCCATTCACTGGCCCAGCACATGCCTCAATAAAGACTCCAGCTGTACTCATAGCCAAGCATGCCGTACCTGCTTTTATGTCATTACACACTCCATCAAAGAAACAGACACCTCCGCTGAAGGGTAATTCAACACCAATAGAGTATCCGCTGCAGCTTTCACATTACCCAAGTCTGTGTAAACAATAAACTTGCTTCCACCTGATTTACCATGATGAATGAGAACTTGATGAGCGGAACTGTGGAAGGGCCCCAACAAGGAAAATGTATTTTACATTCCCAAACTCTCCCCACTCTTCTCCCTGCTACTAGAGGTACAACAAGTAGCACTGTGACTTCTACTCCCACATCTTGAGCTTTGACTACCACGTGCACGACTAGATCCTTGTGGAGGCAATTCATGATGACAGATGGGACACGAATTGTGCTGAATCATGGGACAATACAACCAGGGTGATAAGTATAGTTGCATGGCAACTGTTGTGTTTTTGAGTCTAACTACAGACAGGGCAATACAAACCAGTACACAAATGCTTATTCAGCATTGCATCAGTGGAGTTCTGAGATGCTGGATGTTTGAAAATGGTTCGATTGAGTTCCCTTTCAAAATCACCAAAACAAAGATCAAACCTGAGCCAGGCAAAAACTAAAGCAAGAAAACTAAGAAATCAAATCGAATACAGAGAAGATGGAAAAATGTGGGAGTTTGCAAGAGCAGCATTGATTTGGTCTATTTGGGAAGAGAGAAATGCAAGAGTTTTTCAGGAAAAGGAGAGAAGCATACAAGAAATCAAGGAGTGTGTGGCGCCTAGGGTGATACATTGGTTAAGTGTAGACCAGTCCGACTTTAGCGTGGCAGCCAAGACTGGTCTCTTACTCTACTAGCCCAGATAAACCTAATCTGAGATATAATCGCATGAGGTTAGGTGAGGAGGATTCTGTTTCAGACTGGGTAAGTGTAGATGATGAGTCACGAAAAGAGGAGTTGTATGTTGAAGAGTCCAGCTATGGTAGTATACAGAGTAAATGTCCAGGGATTGGGGAGGAAGATGACCCAGGATTAAAGTTACTGTTTGAAGAAGAGGCTTGTACACCTCCAGGAGAGTTGGTTCTGCCTATAAAGGAGTTGGAAAGAAAGAAAACAGGCTCGGGTGAGGAGAAAACTGAAACAGGGAGAAAAGGGGATTCGATCCTTTGTAAAGACCAGGGAATGGGTGCTTGTACGGTGTGTGTTGGCAATCTGGTTCCTCTGAGTAGAGCTATAAACCACCCGTTTCCCACTGCAGTCAATCCAGGTCTTGATTTCAAGGGTCCTATTCCCAGCGAAAGTCAAACAAAGGGGGTTCAGGCTATTCCAGCAACTCATATTGTGTCTTCTTCCTCCCAAGGTTTGGATTGTTTCAGGTTCAGTTTTTGGTTACTAACTCTGTTTCCCCAAGTCTTGCGTGTGTCTGGCCTATAGGTGAATCCAACCCAGCTATAAAGTCTACCAATTCATTTGATCAAGGGCAAGTGACAGAGGTAGTGGGGGAGAAATTTTGAAGCAGAAGAGAGAGAACTAGGGGACAAAATTTGGGAGTTGATCTTGGAACTATTTAGAATCAGAATGGAAGAGGAGCTGAATGAGAAAGAGGGTAGGGTTGAGGAGGAGGTTATTCAAAATCCCAATACAGTGGAGAAAAGTGGATACAGTGGAAAACCAAAAGGACAACGGAAAAAGAAGAAGAAGGGGTTAGGTAAGAAACTAGAAGGAAAGGAGAAGGTGGAAGAGTCTAGTAAGAAGGTAGGAGAGCTTTCTAAGAAGAGGAAGAAAAAGCTGAGTGAGGTGGAGAGGTTAAAGAGTGGGGTGGATTATGATAAAGTAAGTGGGGGTAGGAAGGATAAAAAAAGGAGTAAAGAGGGTGGTTTGGTTGGGGCAACCTGAAATGTTTGTCCATGAAGTTAATAAGCTGGAACGTAAGGGGTTTGGGGAGTTCAAAGAAAAGGCGAGTGATCAGAGACTTCTTGAGAAGAGAAAAGCCAAATGTGGTCTTAATACAAGAATCAAAATTGACTGAGGTGGACAAGAAATGGGTGAGGAGTATCTGGTTAACAAGAAATTTGAGTTGGGCCTTTGCACAGTTGTGGGGATCTTCAGGGAGAATTATTACTTTGTGGAGAAATGAAGACTGGGAGTGTGAAGAAGAATTAATTGGGAATTTCTCGGTGTCAATAAAATTGAAGAGARAGGAAGATGGGTGGGCTTGGGTGTTAACTGATGTCTATGGCCCCACCTCTTATAGGGAAAGGGAAGGTTTCTGGGAAGAACTAGCAGCTGTTAGGGGTTTGTGGGATGACCCTTGGTGTTTGGGTGGGGATTTCAACGTAATAATATTCTTGAATGAGTCCAATAACCCCAGTCGTAGGATTACATCTAGCATGAGGAAGTTTAATCTCTTTGTGGAGAATTTTGAATTGCGGGACCTCCCTCTTCAGCAAGCAAATTTTACCTGGTCAAACTTCTAAGAAAGGCTTACCTGTTGTCGTTTAGATAGGTTCCTCTTTACAGTGGGTTGGGAAGCTGAATGGGGGATTTTAGATGTTACAGCATTGCCGAGACCTGTTTCAAATCATTGCCCAATCAGGTTGTCTCAAGAAAGAGTGGATGGAGGCCCGTGCCATTTAAGGTTTGAAAACATGTGGTTACTTCATCTAGAGTTCTAGCTAATAAAAGAATGGCAGGAAGTGGACCAAGTGGAATTCCGATGGAAGGGGTATAGGTTTTACAAGAAACTACAACTCTTGAAAGCTAGACTCAAGATTTGGAACAAAGAGGTTTTTGGTAGAATAGAGGAAAGGAAAGTGGAAATCAGTCGGAGAGTGCAGGAGTTAGATGGACTAGAAGTTGAAAGAAGGCTGGGGGAAGAGGGTAGGGTGGAAAGATGGAATTTGAAACAGGAACTGGAAGATCTTCTTAGGAAGGAGGAGATAAGTTGGAGGCAAAAATCCAGGTGCAAATGGCTAAAGGAAGGGGACATYAATACAAGGTTTTTTCATTCGTTGGCAAATGGGAGGAGAAGGAAGAATTTTGTTTCAAAATTGGACTGGGATGGGCAATTGTCAACAAGGGAAGAGGATATAGCTCAAGCTTTGGTTAATCACTTCAAATTAGTGTATGACAACCCAGGGAGGCCTAGTGAGAGCTTAGAGGACTTGGAGTGGAGGGTGAAAGATAGTGTCTTATTGGAATCTTTGGAAAAAAGATTTGAGGCCCAAGAAGTGAGAAATGCAATCTTCTCCATGGATCGATCTAAAGCTCCTGGGCCTGATGGTTTTTTGATTGCCTCCTATCAAGATTGTTGAGAGATAATTAGAGAGGATTTGTTGGAGGTTTTTGAAGAGTTCTATGAGAGAGGCAAATTTAACTTGGGAGCAAATGAAACTTTTATTGCCTTGGTTCCTAAGAAGAAGGACGCTCTCTAACGAAAGGATTTTAAACCTATAAGCCTAGTGGGAACCATGTATATGATCATCTCTAAGGTCCTAGCGCTAAGATTAAAAAAGATCCTCTCGTCTCTAATTTCACCGTATCAAGGGGCCTTTGTAGAAGGAAGACAAATTGTAGATCAAATACTTATTGCCAATGAATGTGTTGAGATGAAGAGGAGGAGAATGGAAAAGGGGTTGGTTTGCAAATTGGATCTTGAAAAGGCATATGACATGGTGGACTGGTATTTTTTACTAGAGGTTCTCAAGCAGAGAGGGTTTGAGGAGAGATGGTGCAGATGGGTAAAGGGATGCATTTCTTCATGTCATTTCTCAATATTGGTGAATGGTGTAGCTAGGGGTTTCTTCCCTGCAAAGAGGGGTATTAGGCAAGGAGATCCGTTGTCCACATTTCTCTTTACCCTAGTAGCTGATGTTTTGAGTGCCATGATTTCGAGGGCTGATGCTAACAATTTGACAAGAGGTTGGAGGATTGGTAGGGAGGAGGTGGTGGTCACACACTTACAATTTGCAGATGACATCATCTTGTTTTGTGACGGGGAGGAAGGGGAATTACGGAACTTAATAGTCTAGTGCTTCAATTTGAAAGTTGTGTGGTAGGGCTCAATTTAGGGGGAGAGGAGGTGGATTCCCTAGCTAGGATTTTGGGGTGTGAAGTGAGGAGTTGGCCTTTACAATATTTGGGGCTACCACTGAGAGGGAACCCAATGGTTGAGAGTTTTTGGTACCCTGTGATTGAAAGATTCTCCAAGAGGTTAGCAAATTGGAAGAGGAATTACATCTCTTTAGGGGGTAGGATAAC